AATTCACCCAAACTCATTCTGTGTTTGTGTTTGTGATAGAAAATAGGTCACTTGTAGCATGTCTCGTGTAAATGTGATGAGAACAAGAAAGTTGGCCCTCAATCCTGTAGGCGAGTGTGTCACTGATGTGCACACCACATGTTCAAGTATTTTTTTAAAAAAACTCTCTCTAATTTAGCGATATTTGCTGACCCTTAGATCAAATATTTTTCTCCAGATGGGAGAAAAACATCTGATTCAAGTCAGATTTTTAGCGTGAGCCTTACAAATTTGACTTGAACTTATTTAAATGTTGTTTATAATGATGGCAGTGAAAGTCCCACATGATCTAAGAACTGTTTGATTAAATTACTTAACAAGTTCCTTGATAAATTTTTCTTGGTCTTCATTTATCTGCAAGGTCTTAAATTGTATTATTATGATAATCTTTAGTATTACAAATGTTCCCTTAAAGAAACAGACGGATCATCAGTGACTGCAAATTCATCATTTGTAGGTTATAAATCAACTGGTGAACTTGGGACTCGTCCAAGACCGAAAGATGCTTCATAAGAAAAGGACGAAAGAAAATAAAAGGAAGAAGCAAAAGAATAATGGATTTATCGTGGTAATTAAGTCATGTTTGGAAGTACTCTGTGTCTGAGATATTGTTCCATGCACTCGACTTTATGGGGTTAGAATCGTCGATAAACTACATCTTTTGATCTTTGAACAGGGATGGACTGCTATCGTTACTTATTGTTAGAAATTCACACCGTTGTCAATTTTTCAGGAGACAGCATCGATCTTCTCATGCTTGTTACTGACCTAACGCAATGTTGTGTTGTCCCAGCTACAAAACCTCGATCAGTCCCGATTTTAAATCTGTTACTACTTAATTTCTTCTAACCGTTTCAGCTTTCATTTGGGACTAGAACTGATCTTATAATGAATTACAAAACAACGCATTTCCAAATTTTTGTTGCTACAATTTTAGTATAACATGTTGGATTACTTCTGTGAAGTATTTTTTGTCATGGCTTTGCTCTTTAAATCGTGGAAAACTTTTCACACCTACTTACTTAACGAGAAGATGAAAATTGTGCTCAAAAGCATCACTTTTACCACCTCCTTTTACACTTTTTTGAGGAACATAACAGCTCATCAGTTATTTTTTTAGGATGACGAGGATGAAGGCAGTGATAGTGAAGGTAACTTAAATAGCGGATGAAGTTTTGTAAACTACTGGTTGTTGCGTCTAACAGTTACATACGTATAATGGCCCTGAGCTCAAAGAAAAAAATTTGAAGAGTATTTAGGCCTCAATTTTTCCGTTTTCAAAAAAGTTTTATCTTCCTTTTTGACGTGATGTTTTCACTGGGGATAAGATATGTGCTATTTCGGTGCATCCTCAGAAAAAAAAATTAGTATGGTTCTGTGCTCGTTAGTGTGAATGTGATATGTCTGTTTGCATTGTTAACCATAAATGATGTTTCTTTTTTTGTTGTTCAGGTGGCGATGCCGTCGAGGAAGGCTTTGATCATCCGTTTTCTGAGGAAGAAGAGTCAACATCTGATGATGATAATGAAGAAGAGGCTGATATCGGTGAAGGATCCCTGAATAACATCATTACCAAACTGACAAGCGCAGGTATGGAAGCTCCTAAGATGCACAGAATTCCACAGATTTAGAAGAAACCATGGCTGGAACGAATTCCAATTTTCTCTTGTGTTCTCCTCTTTATGAAAGATTCCAAAATTGATATTTTTAAGGGTTGAAGGAGCAGTTACTGTGGATTCAATCCAAGCTTCTTAGGACAGCTGATGATAGAGAAAGCACAGGTAAATATTTCTGACCTTCTCTGAGCATTTTACTATGTAAAGATTTACCGATCAGTTATGTTGAAGATTAAGTACACTCCTCTGTTTGCTTACATAAAGCAGTTCATTTCATTCGCTCAGTTGTGTGTTTGCTTGAAAAAATTGTTTGCATTTTATTAGAAAACAGCCATTCTATTTGTCCAGCCCCTTAGAATTCACCAACTGGGAAAGCTATGAACGGCTTCTTTCATATCCTCATCTCCAAACCGCTGTTTTCTCTGAAGAGCCCAACTAAATTTGAAAAGAACACAGTCAAACCTCCACTAACAGCCGCCTCTCAACAACGCCCGAATAGCTTGCGTTGTTTTGTTTTTGGTAACATAATTCACAACTTTTTATCCTATTGTACATTTCGCTGTTTTTCAAAGATAAGGAGAAATGGCAGCCACTTCCCTTGGTGACGATCACAGAGGAAAACGAGGAGGCCCTGGGTAACAAGCTCTTCAGGCAAGCACTTAAGAAAATTGGACTGAAGCCCCCAGCTAATGAACAGGTCAGCTAAATGTCTCAGAGTTGTGACATCATATCACGGATGACTGATTTGTCAGAGGGTACCTTGGCTTCGTAGCACAAACATTTTCTCGCACCACAAAACCAACAGTTTAGTACATTTCTCAATCATTTATTTTCTTGTTTCATTCGTCAGGAAACATTCTGGAGAATTCCAACAAGGCTCAACCCTGAAAGGCTACGAATGGCTGCTAAGGACCTTGAAGGGACTGGTACTGGTGATAACGAAGAAGGTAGAAATGTTCATCTCTTGATTCTCCCTTTCTTGGAAAATTTTCGCCCGTGAGATTCTTGTCTGGTTGTAATCAAATCAGAGCGAGCCTTTGACTAGATCGGAAGTCATTAGGTCATGCATTGAATCATACTCTTAGTGGATGGTGGTTCAGTAAAAGTTTGGTTCAGCTATCTTTCCTTATGATCGTTCTTCCAATAGAGCAGTTTTCAACTGAGTTTCGAAAGTAATCCGGGATTGCTCTTGGTTTACTAAACTTTGCTCTGTGATTGGTCCAGAAAACTTGCGCCATCCTCTCAACCAATCAGAGGAAGGAAAAACTAAAAACATTCGCGACTTAATCATTAGTCTTTGGATGATGATAATGTAAACCTTGTTCTAAGTGGTTGCTGCTATAACCTCAATACTCTATTGAAAACTGCTCTGATATGCAATCCTGTAGAGAAAATAGACAAATGTTCTTCGTCCAACATTTATTATTGTGTTGGGGTGTGCCGACAGTAAATCGTTTACTTGATCAAACTCTCTTTTTGGTCAGATGTTGCTCTACATTCAAAACAAATTAGTTCAAACAATCCATAGAGAAAGCTTTTTTTCGTTTTGTAAGTTTTCCACAAGAAATTGAACCTCAGACCTTCTCTAGAGAGAGATACTGTAGTCCGATGCTCTACCAGGCCCATAACTGAAGGCCCATAACCATTATGATCATTATTTTTCTTTTCTCCTTCTTTCCCCATCTGGGCGTGCTATGTCACGTTTTTTCGTATTTAATATTCAAATTGTAACGTTTAACGTATTTTTTCAAATGTACAACCGTTAAAATAACAACTTCATAATGTCAAACATGTCTTGCAAACTAAAAGTTGTGGTTTCTTTATTAAGATTTATTATTTATCATTTTTATTTGCTGAATGAGTTCTTTTTTTGTATTTTAAACAACATTAAGCCGACAATACAGATCCTGTGACACCGTCAGCCGGTAGTAAGAGTAAGTCACGTAAAAAGGCTTTAGCTGCCCTTGCCGCCGCTGCACGGGAAAACAACGGATCGGCGTCAAGGCGGAAGCGAAAAGAACGCAAACGGAACAGGAAAGTCAGCATCTCTGACCTTCGGAAGTTTGAGAAGACTTCGATCAAAGTAAGCAAAGCTGAGTTGGATTTGAATTTCTGGACTGGAAAACAGGAGACGAGGCGGAAAAGATTGGAGAAAAACAGTGAGTGGTGTGGCACCAGACGATAACCCCGGCCATGACAGTGACAGGTATGTGTTAGTCTTGAGTAATATCAGCTAAATTTAAGTCAGCACCGTAATCACCCTTGGGGTATCCCATGTTTTGGTGTGTGAATGCAAGCCGTGAAAAAAAAGGTTTTTCACTGAGTGACTTACGTTTGACCAATTTGATGCAATCAACCAGACATGTCATAAGTGGCATAAGAAGCAGTTTCGTTTCCAGTTGACGTTTTCGTCCTGGACTGTCTCTCATGGAGAAAGGACACACGAGACAAGATTGCACCAGCCTAGGGAAGAGCGTGGCCTAAAACTTTGTTGTGTGTAGTGGTTAGCCAGATTTCGTTGTTTTATCATTCACAGAGAGAAGTAACACAAAAGTATGAAAGCTTATTTCACCTGGTAAATAAGTGTTCTGTTTTTGTTCTTTACAATAGTGAAGGTGCAGGTGAATTAAAGAGCACGGCTGAAAAAGAACCTCGATCTCCCTCACCCCCAGGGGCACAAAATAGCGCCGACAAGAAAGAATCTTCAAAACGAGGTAAACGCCGAGTTAGAGCGCTGGATGATAGTGATGAAGATGATACTGAATCAGAAAGAGGCCTTCACAATGGACATGGCGAGTTTAACGCGAGTCTAGATGATAAGGAAAATAAGGCTACTAGCGGGAATGCTGCTGCGTCGAATAGTGATTTAGAATACAGCAGAAATATTTCTGATTCAGAGGATGTTAATTACAACCCCAGTGGGGTCAGACACACTGAGGCTGGCAAGAAAAGAGTAAGAGATGATGACAGTGATGGACCTAGTGGTGATGATGATAATAACGACGACGAGAAATTTAACTTGCCATTGAATTCTCACAAAAAAGCCAGGCGTATTGTTGTTGACGATGATGACGATGAAGAGTGAAGACACATTGAACAACTGAAATAATTACTTATTATTAAGATTTTTTAAGGGATGCAGCTATTAAAATTGCTGGCATTAAATAATTTGTCATACTGCTACCACTTGCGTTTTCTTTTGTTCAGATCTTTTTCTCTCATATCGCCCTTTCCTTCCCCCTTCCCTGGTTAGCTTGATAGTTAGAATCTCGCGCGTTACTTCAAACAAGCACGTCCTACGCCCATGTAGAGCACAAAATTCAATTAACAACCAAGACACATCAGTAAGACATTATATGGTGCATGATGACACCAGGTTTGCTTTATTTTGTGGCGGAAGCCGCACAAAGCTCTAAGGAATAGCTACTGGAAAAACGGCACATGTTCTTTCCTTTGGCAAAAATCTGTTCAAAGTGACTGGTCACTTAAAATATTTTTTTAATTGTTTACTAATAGTTACAATAAGATATCGCGAACCAGACAGGTAAGTTTTTAAACATATTCCTAAGATTAAGAAATAAAGTAAAACGTAAGCCGTTGATTAAATTGCTTTGGTTTACAATAATTCTAATTTAAGACAACAGCATTCAAAGAAAGACATGGTTAATTGGGATTTCTGCCTAAGGAGTACTCCTCTAAATTTAAAATTTAACATCTTGATACAAGTTGCCGTATTATTCACTACCATTTACTGATAACTTGAAAAATTCCTTTAACAGATCTTCTACAGCATTTCTTGTTTTTAATGTATTTGCCTTTCCTTGGAATCTTCCTTTTTTCCCACCACCTTTTCCTTCCAGAAGAGTAGCAATCCTGAAAATGAGACCACACTTTATTTACCAAAACATCCTCCCAAACTACTTGACAAGGAATCTTGTGTTTTATGCAATATCAAATGGAATTATCTGGTGTCAAGTCCATGAGGCACAATGAATGTAATTAGTCAGACTGGTTTTCATCCCATATCCGCCAGGGAATACATATGGTATTCTGGGGTTTAACATTATTCAAGATGTTTAACATTAGTCAAATTCCATAGTAGAAGATTAGGGAATGGAAAACACGCCACAAATTTTTACATTGAGAATTAAATCTAAAATTACAATTCCAAGTAATGGTGGATTAACTTCACCATGAATTAATTGACCATGCTTAGAGTACCAAAGATCTGTGCAGATTTAAACACAGTGATCCCAAAGTTTAGTAAGGTGTGGACATATTTTACATTGATAAGGTGTCTAAAAAACAATAGTTGTACTTCAACACAAAGTCAGACTTGACAATAAATGAATGAAACTTACTTTGGTCCTATTTGGGCCACTTGTTTTTCATTGCCATACAAAAGGAACTGTCCTGGCCCTTTATCAGGGCCAACTGTCACCAGCACTGGAAGAGGCTACAAACAGAGACAAACTATATTTGTTGGCATGAATTTGCCAAAGAAAATTCGCTTAGCAATACCCAAGCATTAGACAATTCTAAATCTAAGCTTGGCCAGGGTCACTTTCACAAAGGATCTTAGAATGTCTGAGAATCATGCTAACAGCTAGGCTCTTTTCAACAGAAACAATTTTAAGACTGTTACACTTCATTTACCTGGTCTGATAGTTCATTCACCAATGCGTTCATGTAGTCCATGTCTCCATTTTCTCTGCAATAAAAGTGAATATAAATTCACAGGGGACCTAATACAGAGGTTAGACAACACAGCTGCTCTTTCTAATTCAGGGCTATATTAGATACTCCTACATTGCTTAGGTAAATCCTTATGGTTGTCAAGATTTGTTTTGTTGTTGTCAATGTTCTTTTCATTTTTAATTCATGCACACTTACACTTCTTCCTGCATCCTGAATTCATTTATATCAATAATCACTTTGCTAATCTTGTGTTAAAATAACTGCATAAGAAAAATAGTGTCCTTGACTATTATGAGAAACCAAAACCACACTTGCATCAGAGTCTTGCACACAACAAGCTCAGAAAATACAAACTTAACCCTATTTCTTTAGCATGAAAAAATTAGGATTTTGATTGCTTGCTAGTCCAACACACACTAGCCCAAGCACCAAATTTGTCTGGTTTCCCTGCCAATTTATGTGGAATTGGAAACACAAGGGTGGAGAGATGCACTGTGAGAGGAAGGGTAACTGTGTCTACAATGCTGGACTGAAGAGCCATGTTACTTATATAGCTTATATAGTGCTGATATCAATATTGTAGTTATTTTCCTTGATAACACAATAGACAGCACTTTTTGTCTGTTTAATAACATCATAGCCAACATAGGATACTGAGGTAACACAAGAAATCATGAGCAGAAACAAAATCCCTCAAAAACTTTGAGAAATCTCCCAGCATCGCAAGCACACAATAATGCCAGTGAACAAATAAAGAGTGCAGTCTATAACTTTTAATTCATTGTGTAGCCATGGGAATACTGGTAAAATAAAAAATGATGGGCCAGTTACAGTATGGCTGCATACTACTCAGTTCATTTAAACATTTATAACCACCTGTGTATAAAGAGGTATGTTTTTGTTTCACTTGTTGCTTTAAGCTGGTAAGCTTCCAACTGTGCAATCTCTTTTAGCTGTGACTTTGTAACCTGTATATCAATGAGTGGACAAAGTGGGTGAATACCAGCAACATTGACAAAAAAGCAACAAGTACACCTGTACAAAGCAGTTACTTTATTTCAGAAACGATGTGCTGCAATTGCAGGAGTAAAAACTTGGTAGCTATCAGCAGAGAGATAAGAAGTACAGTTACCCTGGTGGTATTAAACAAATACCTCTGAAAGCATATAAAAGACACTACCTTATTTACAGCCTTAAGTGATGTTTGAATCCGATCCACAGCTGTGGAGTGATCATCAGGTCCAACACTACACAAAATTATACATTCAAACACTTCATGATTTGCTTTTAATGACTATCTACTTTTCTAGGCATCAACAAGTGCATTCAATTAATAATAATAATATAATAAATAATAACTTTATTTAAGTGTCAGTGTATTTTAGCACTGCTGTGCTAATTGGGGACACTGTAAATAAGGAAACAAATATCGTAAATGAACAGAAACTCGTTAAAAACCCCAACTGGTAGGAGGCAGACCAGTTGGCTATTTCCAAAGCGTGCAGGAGTTGAATTCGGGGCCACCGAAGACAAATCCATCCAGTGGCAGGGAGGAGGACTTGAACCCGGGACCTTCGGCTTACAAGTGCAGTGCCCTAACCACTAGGCCACGCTCGCCTCCTTAATCAACATGAATTTTAACCAAGCCACTTAAAACCTATGGTCCAGCTCACTGCTGCACCTTAAATGTGGCCATGTGAGCTTAACAAAGGTTAAACTGAAAAACAACTGATTGAGAACTGACAAGAATCTGTTTGTGTTTTACCTCAACATTTTTGTCAATGCTCTTTCATTATCTAGAGCCTTTCCCAGATACTTTAAAACTCTGTTTCCTGCCAAAAAGAATAGTCTGGTACCTCCTCGCATTGACTCTGTCTCAGGGTACAACTTAATAACCTGCCAAATAAAATAAACAAACAAAAAAGCAAATGCATTCTTCATTATTTAACACATCTTCTTGACTTTGACCAATGAAGTGTGCACAATGAATTGATTTAGTACAACAATATGATCCTTGGCACAGTCATACTGCTATATGGAAGCCTCCATAGGAGGAGAGATGAAGTAAATTTGGTTAAATCGTATTGACAGATGACCTTGTGGGCCTGACTTACATAATTCAGAAAACATCCTCATTAGGGACCCATTTTGTTGTTTTTTCCCTTGTGCAGAGAAGTCAAGATTAATTCTGAAAGTGCCACCATGACCAAATTTTCACCACTGATATTCTAAGGGATTTCACAGAGAATTCTACTGAAATTCATAAATGGCATTTTCCATTGTGAAATATCATGGTTAAGTCCAGGAGATATTTTTTAAAAGTTTGAATAATTGCTAAAAATATTCAGAAGGGTGATGCCATCATATCCTGAACCTAAAATTTTGGGAATATTGTTTGCTTCATTTAGTTGAAATTTGGTTGAGTGTATGGCATCATCACTTTGCTAAATGACATCACTCTTCATTTAGAATCTACTTGTCACTGTTTTGAAATGGCTGATATGAGACAGGTATGAAATTTCACATGGCAGCATTTTTTCCCACATCAAAGAACCTCACTATAAGAGAACTTCAAGGTAACGCCTTATAGGGTGTCAAATGCTGGTTATTGAAAGAATCAAAGGATCTTAAGGTTCCCACATTGATTAATATAAACCACACAGAGAGAGATTTATTTCAAAATGAACAAACAAAAACGATAAAGTCACATGATTACAAACATCAAGTTTCCCATGACCTGATGTCACGCTGTACAAGTCTGTAACACTCACTAAATAGACAAAGGAATAGGCTTCCAAAACTAAAATGCCACATTTTGTGACAAACAAAACTTCACAATCTTGTTCCCAGCTCTTTTTTGTTCCCTCCTTGTTGAGGAACACAAAGAGGTCTTCACAGCCTTACATACAACAAAATAACTAGGGCATGCATTTACCTGAACTTGACTAAGATTGGTAACATGAGTTCCACAACACATGTTTCTGTCTATACCTAGTGATTAAATGATGACATTTAATAACAAGTCTTAAAATTTGCCATTTGTGTTAAATGACAACTGTACAACAACAGAAACTATTTTAAGGAATTTAAGTAAAATCATCAATATATAACTGGAAATCAACGCAGTTTGATGACTTGCACATTGTATATTACCTCTCCTTACAAAGGAGATATAGTATAATTTGATTAACTCTTTTCACCCTTTTCTTCTAACATCAGTATGCATATCCTCCATACTTTTCTCTGTGCATTTCCTTAGGTTCTGACAAGGAGAATTTGTTGATGATCATTTCTTTTACTCTTGAGACCTTAAAGTGTGATTCAAGGGTGACATTGCAAGAAGGAATCAAATGCTAGTCACTCTTAAATGGCAAAGGGTTAAAACATATGGCAAGGGACATCTAATAGAAGGCTTGTGTCCCCTACCAGGGAAACTTTTGTTTCCCTTGCACACACTGACCGGGTATTTCAATCACTCTGACAGGACCTTCATGGTCGTCAGGAAGACCTCTTGTGCTTGCCTGGGGAGAAAAAGAACTATCACGTTAACAGTGTATTAAAAACACAGCATCTATAGTCAAACAATTGCATTTACATGTCTACCACACCTTTTGGGGAGACATTCACCTAACACATGATAGCATAAGAAGAAGAGGCTGCTTTGGTTTTTTTTTTTTGGTTTTTTTTTTCTCTGATTGCTTTGGCATTGGCAAAAATGGATGAATTGATGATTAGAAGACCCTCTGGTTTAAAAAATCCTTTGTCTTAATGCATGAATATAGGCTTATGCATGTACTTGTTTTTTTTTTATAAACCAGCCTTCAGAGGAATGTACTAAGACCCCAAACAGTAAAACCAAACATCTGAAACAACCAAAACAACCATAATAACCAAAATTAAAACAATTATAATGACCAAAATAAAACCACTACAATAATATAGATGAAATGCTGTGGAAAATGTGGATTTTACTTCAGACATTCTCTTGCTTTCAAGGCTCTATTACAAAACTGATTATTTATTTTCCACCCCACGAGCAGTTGAAACTTTAATTTGACAATAGTGTGTAGTTTCCAGGAGAGAACACCAGCCATATTAAGATAGATCAGGAGTAGACCATAATCTAATCTAGAGGAATATGATGGCTGACCCCTGACAGCCCTGAGTGTTAATTTTATTATTATTGACTGTTTTTGGTTTATTTTTTTGGGAGTTTCCATCGTTTTGTTTTAGTTGCTTCGATGGTTTCTCTTGTTTCACTTGTTTTGTTTCTGTCGTTTCATTTTGCTGTTTCAGATTTTAGTACATGCCCCATTAGAAAGAGCAGATTGTTAATTAAAGCTATTTATTGTAAATGACATACTTGCTGCTTAGATGCTCAGGGTCCAAAGAGGACAGTCTTTCATAAAATTTGCAAACTTACATTTTCTTGTTTAGCAGAAGTTGCATCAGGATAAATATGAACATTGACTGGTGTATTTCTCCTTATGATTTCATTGGCTGTTGTCTCTATCCATTCCATTTCTTCTGCAGTGAGCTTTTTGCAGTTTAGTTCTATGTGTGAACGTAATTTTCCTAACTCCCTAACAACAAAAAAAATTAAAATATCTGTATTAACAATTCTTTGTTTCTCTGGGTCTGCATTCCACCTTGTGATGATCTTATCAATTGATTGTTGTGTAAAGAATCTAACTGAACATGTAATTCTGTATAACAATAACTTGCTTACCATGAAGTTGTTTCATAACCAAACTTGTTTTCAATGATGGCAGACACTAAGTGCTGTCCTGAAGTTTGAAACGATGCAGGTGAAGTTAAACATGACAGTGTTTAAGCATTTTATTTGCTATCATTACCATCACTTAGGAAATATTTTGAGAAAGAAGTTTGTCTTGCCACTCAAAATCAATTACATCAAGAATATGTCGAGTGTGAAGCTTAAGTGTTAGACACAAAATGATGACAGTAATAAGTATTGAAAATTTATGCTGTGTTGTTTCCTGATTGGTTGACCCATATTCAAAATAAACATGTAAAACATTTTCCTGGATCATTCAAACTCATTTTTCAACCCTAGATATAAACATTCCTCGGGCTACATGCCATAGATAAGTTTGCAATCTAGGATAGAAATTGATTATGTTTAAAAATTATCCACAATACTAGTAAACAGCTAACGAGCATAAGATTACACAAACAAAACTGTCCTATAATAGTCCTAAAAGCACCTGAGTGTTGTTGCATGTGGTCAAATCTCCTTGACCAATCAATGACAAGATTAACTTCAGTTGCTTCAGGAACTGCCTCAGGAATGTAATGGATAGCACGTCCCCCTTGTCTAACCACTCTCATGACTTCAATGCCATTAATCTGTTGGGGAGACAACATATATCTCCTTCCTTAATGAGAAGCATATAAGAAAATATATTGTATTCAGTGAATACATTTAAACTTAAGTTTTTTGTGAAACAAACTGAGAAAAAAGATGACTGCAACCTTGGTTTCGATGGAAGAGGTCCCATGCATACTATAATAGTTTTGCATTGTGCCATGTAGCCTATTGTTATTTCTCACAATTCATTCTCCCTATCTGAGTGTATTGTAGGTGAAGCACACTTCCCTTCACTAATCAGGCATCTTACAAAGAAGACAGCCCTAGATGGTGTTAAAAGTTGTTGACAATCAATGGCTTTATCTTGATCCCATTCAGAGGTACTAATTCCTCAAGATATCACTGAATTTTACCAGTTGCTGGCCAAGAATGGGACCATACATTTGGCAAAAAAAATCAACTCCATGTAGGTAGCTCTTTTGACCAAAAACTTACAAACACAAACAGTTGTGTGCTGACTGTGATCTAATCCCCTATATTTTAAAGTTATCTACAATGATTTAAAATTGCAGTAGTAACAATCAAGGTCAATCAATGAAAAAAATAATTCTTAATTCCATAGCAGTAGTGGAGAGGAGTTATTCAAAGCTAATACATACTGTTCCTCTATCATCAGGCTGTTCATGTCAGCAGATTAATCACAAATGGACCATTCAGCATGAGGAAGAAAAGAAGTATCATTGTGTTATATAGAAACTCAAATATACATGTATGTAACCGTCCTAATAGACTGAATCTCACCAGCTACAAACATTTGGTTTTAGTATAAAGCTAGCAGCACCTATGGGAACAATGAAGCAAATCCTGTATCTTGATGTTCTGATTGCCTGCCAGAGTACTCAAGATGGGCCCTGGACTTGCCCACTCTAATCCTACTTTGGGCAGGGGATATTCAAAGTCAACTTTCAAGAAAGATTAGTGAATGTGTGTCAACTCAACCCCCTCTCCCCCCTCCCCCAACAGAACAAAATGACCTTAGTCATCTCAGATAACTGTGTGGCAGAACATCAGGTAATTACCCAACAACTAAGTGTATGGATGCTGTTTAGTAATTTGTAAGAACAGGTGTGATGTGGGAGTCATAAAGAGACTGGGAAGATCATAACAGTCATTATTTCCATCATCTGACACTACGAAAAACCAATCTTTGCATCACACATCAAACCAGAGATCTTACATGTATATCCTTATTTCATACTTACATTCATGTACTTATTTGGAAAGATTTCCGGTACATATCTATTTCTTTCGCCATTGTTTTCTCTCTCCAAGAACTTCATACGCATAATGAAGTAAGAAACTGTGCATAAATCTAACCAAATCGCGAAATAATCCCTGCCTACCTGACCCCCTCCTTCGGGAAACAAGACAGTGTCTTCCAGAACAACTTCGTACGCAGCCTTGTCGGCAAGTTTGCTTGATTTACAGGACAACACCTGTGTCCTCAGCTCTCTGAGGAAAGAATCTTGTTGACATGCAAAAACCATGCTAGTTATTCGACGTGTTGACCAAATGTTTTCAAATACCTTACGGCTAAATCGTAAAGAACGTCGCATACGCTCGATTGAACGAAAGAAGGACGGAAGTAAGTCAACGAGCTTGACGAGCCAGTTATCTATCAGCGGTATAAGCTCCAAAAATTTAGCTTAAAAAAATTCTATACATAAACTTCCCACTTCATTTCAACTGCGGGTCCCATGGTGTAATGGTTAGCACTCTGGACTTTGAATCCAGCGATCCGAGTTCAAATCTCGGTGGGACCTTCCTTTTTCTGTTCCCTTCCTCTTTTTTTAACTTTATTTTCCTTATTATATCATGTGAAAGGTCGAACAGGCAAATTTTTCGAGTCGCAAAAGCAATGTATTGCCTATTCCACTCTTAACTAGACCGTATATGAGATTAAAAAATTCATCCCCCAGCAAATTCTGTTTTCCAGAGGGCGTAAAATTTCAGAAATGAGAATCTTCGAGGTGAAAGCTCCAATACCAGCAAGGGGAAATATTCAGGATTTAAGAATAAGATATATCCTATTAGAAACGTTTGGATGTCTGACAACAGGTTTCTCATCTGTGTGTTTGTTGACAATTCCAAGAGTTTTCCTCCTCTGACATCTAACACTAACTATAAAACCAACAGTTGTTAAAAGACAATAGTAAGAGAGGACACTTTAACCTGTCCACAATTCCAAGGAAACCACAGAGTAGTTAATCAACACTTTATTTAATTTTATTTCAAACACATTCAGGCCCGGGGAGGCCTCTACCTGCTTAGACCAAAATTAGTTCAATGTACATGTTTCGTTGCTTTGTATCTATTCACTACTGTTAAATTTCAAAAGATTTCTTTAGTTGCCATTTGTCAAAAAACTTTTGATGGTACCACTGTTGCAACAAAAAGTGGGAAAAATTCTGTAAAAATTGAGTTAAAACCTTTACTCAGACAGAAGAACGAACTAAGATAGCATGTTTGTTCCTGGATGTTATATTTATCTAAGTAATATACTTTGGAACTTGAATGATTATTGGTCAGAGAACCCTAAAGTTTGTTTAAGAGCTCAGATGTTCACGTAAAAGGGATAAAATGAGAATAACTTTAAATAGGTAAAATAAAATTAAAAATGTTGAATCAAGACTAAAAAAAGTTGTTAACAACAATCCCTTTGGCCATAAGCTTGGAGATCATTCCTTCTGAAACCTGTAAGATAAGGTTCATCAAACTAAATGATGCTATTTCTGGTTCCTAACCCCTGCATCTTGTAAACATAACCCATCCATAATTTCCCAAAGTAAAAGAATTAAATTAAGATTCATATTATCAACAAAACAATCTGTTTACCGGGTAAAAGGAAAAGAAGCTGTTCTAAATCCTACTAAATGAAGACTGAGGAGGCAGAACTTAGGACTTAAAATCCTCAGCTGCAAGAAATGTCACAGCTTTCAATAGACTGAATGAAATGGAGGAATCCAGTTGATGCCCTGTAAATGCCTCTTAGTGTTTTAAGGTTTGATGATGATTAGAAATGTTCACCCCCAAACTGTTTACCTCTACACCACAGATGTGACCAACACCTGTTAATATCCTCATTAACCTTTCTACTTGACATAAGAAAAAGGATATTATTGGTAAGCACTATTATTTGCAACAGACAATACTAATTTCTTCAGCATTACCAAAACCATCTTGATGATCAAACTTGATGGCCAGGCCACTGAGCCCTGTTATCATGTCCAGGATTCTAGTGTCATAGATATTGCATTTGTAGAACCAGGTCTGTACCATGAAGTGTTTAAATGAATGGCTTATGCATCATACCTCAATCCTACAATTTTTGGTGTGAAGACTAAAATTTATCAGTATAAATTTATTGAACTTGATTCTACAAGACAAATAGGTACTTACAGTGCAACCCTTAATTCTCAGAAGCTCCAGCTTGCAACTTGGTGACAGAAATTCTTTAATGCTCTGATCAGTGACATAGAAGCACCAACTTACATCTAACTCTGTTAAGCCACAAGACTGCTTGGCTACAACACCAATACTCTTATCAGTCACACCATAACAGCTGCTGACATGAAGTTCTCGAAGAGCAGAACATCTTTCACTCAAAGCGATGACACCAGCATCTGAGATCTAAAAAATTACAGTATGAAGAAACTAGAGATTTCCTTTAGCCACAAAACATTGCCCTGAAGATGCCTCCCCATAACTATAATAGAATTTCTTACAGTTGCTAATTTTACTGCTAAAACTAACCCTTTAACTCCCATGAGTGACCAAGACAGAATTTCTCCCCACAAAATCAGTAGACAAGTGATGATAATGAAGAAAGGGATAATTAGTTGATCCAATACCAAATTTCCAAACATCATGAGAATTTTAAGGAACACAGGAAGGAGAATTACTAATGAAGAATTACTACTGGGAGTGAGTGGGTTAAATTATGCTGAATCCAAATGATAGTTAACTAAAGGCTTGATGACCAGGTGACATTCCAATATTGATAATTATAGGAATGACAAGCAGAAGGGGACCTATGATGATATTGCAGTTCTTTGTTTGGGATGAAACATGTTAAAATTGCTTCTTGAGTATTAAGACAGGAAAGTTAAGTGTATTATTGTTATGTGTTGTAACATATAATTCAATAGCTGAAGACAACTGACAAACAGCTTACTAACACAATTAGTATTAAGTCACTCATCTACCGTAAAACAGCTACTGAGATCCAGCTCTGTTAATTCCTTACAGTGCCTTGCTAATGCTTCGAGTCCAGCATCAGTGACTCCTTTACACTTGCTTGTTGTAAGAACAGACAGCTTCTTACAATTCTTGGCAATCAAAAACAAGTTCTCTTCTGTCACACACGGCCAGCACGAATCAAGATGAAGAACTCGGAGATTGCTGGTATACATGAGCAAATGCTTCAATCCATGTTCGGTCAGAATTGATTCATAAGGTACAAAATCCAGGCGAAGTACGCTTCTAAGGTACTCATTCACTTGATCCTTCCATTTTCGAGAAAGTTTTCTACAATGACAGAGGGTTACCACATCTAACAGTCCAAGAATCTTGAAGGTAATCTCAGTAGGGAAAATCTGAGGTGGATCTAGCCCTGATAAGCTTCTTTCCTTTGCATCCATTACTTACATGACATTAAAGAAAAATAATATAATCCTGACAGGCTCGATGGTATTTTTAATTGTCTCCTAAAGAAATAAGCTGCTTTTATTTGAGGATGCATTTGACTTGAAAACTTCAGAGGCCATGTGGAAAAGAACCACTTGTGATGTTATATTTTCTGTTCCACTCTTAGCTCACATCTCCGAAATTGTCGTCCTTGCTGTACTGCAAACAAAACAACACTGAAAGGACGAAATTCGTTTTGCAAACGTTAGAGTCAGGCTCTTCACAGAAACGGTGAGGACACTGGGTCCCACCACAGCCCAACCACACTATGTGTTCGTGGTTAATTATTGTTGACATGAGACGAACAAAATGTACGAGGGCTATGAAAAAAGCTCTGAAAATTGTGTATCTATATTAAATCTTGGCATGAATATCTCATTAAGTTAAATGAAATGTTAGTCGACTCATTTGTGGTATTTTCGAGTGTATTTTTGAGTGTGGTTTGCCTGTGGAAAAGGCCTGGAACTTTTGTCCCCTTCTTCTCTTAACGGCCCCCGGCCAAAAGTAATTTCGTAAAAAGACGCTTCAAACGGCCCATGAAGGCGAAAAAAGACGACAAGTGAGTCGACTAACATTCCATTTAACTTCATAGAGATATTCATAGCTTTATTCATAACCTTCGTTGATTTTTTTCGCCTCACGTCAACAATAATTAACCACGATCACAAAGTGTGGTCAGCCTGTGATTACACCTTCCCTGTTCCAAGGGGCGAAATGTGGGTCGTAGTTTCCCAGTTGTAAGAGATAGTCTTATGTTTATTTTCCCTTTTTTCTGAAATTGTTAGGCCAAGTCTCACAGAATCCCAAGATGTTGAAGATTTGTCCAATCTCTGACAATGATGAGGAGGTAAAAACCCTTGACTAAAGCAGACCGACTACTTCATCGACTATTCAGCTTATCAGACAGCTTGACACCCACCCACCCCCTCCTTACACTTTTGTCGTTAGAATCATCAGGTAAAGAAATTATCTAGTCTAAAACCATCGACTGACGAGGCCACTGGTCCTGAGTTTCATGTCTTTAATGGTTGGTGATACTGTCATGTATAGACCATAACTGATTAAGCGATGTTCAAGAATGGTTTTCCTATTGCTACAAATAAGTATAGACTAACATTCCTCCATATCTCAGGAAAGACCAAGGAGGTTGTTGTCAGTAACTCGTAAAACAATTTCATAGAGTCCCAAGGCCCGTTAGTCAGAAGAAGTGAGGCTTAAAAATTATTTAGTGGACTTCTTTCAGTGTACTTCACTTCAAGTCACATAAAAAGGTGCTTTGGACCATTTCCTGTGAAAAGCATTTGGCGCTGTGAACCAGAACATCTCTCCAGTAAACCTAAAGGTTGGAGATGAACTTTATTCGCATGTCTCAAGATGGAGTCACTTTGGATTTTGATCGCGACGTTTCGACTGCAATACTGCCAACATCTCAACAACATCAATAGGGGTAGTGGAATCGAAATTCCCGAAGCTTCGATACCCACGATCAAACAACACAACAGTCAATCAATGAGGACCTATGAGGGAACATCATCTAACGATCGGAATAATAATGAACATCGAAATGCACCAATAGCAGCGAACCAACGTGCTAAAAATAGCGACACGTAAACAATCGATCTCATCACTCGATGAAGACCAGAAGTATCGCAGTCGAAACGTCGCGATCAACATCAAAATTGACTTCATCGTGAGACAAACGAATAAAGTTCATCCATTGTACACCACGATGAACGATAAACACATACTTTATTACAACCTAAAGGTTGTTGCTTCATCAGGTAACCTAGCGACCAATCAGTGAGCTTGCTGACGATATTCACCGGCAAACAGTTAGGTCTGGTCAATTACAAGGAAACAGATTCGAGCCCATAACCTTTTTTCCTTTTTTTTTGAAGGACCAGTTTTAAGCCTAAACTACGTTTAATTTTTGTAAATGATCTTCCTGAGTCGCTTACCTGGGGTGATCCGGCTATAATTGCTGATTATCATAGATAAAATCTTCGCTGATGGCGCGAACACTAACAATATCATTTTGAAATCAGAATCTATGTTGGTGAATACTTGGTGCATGAGTGACAGGTTGATAGTCTACGAGCCTGAATCAGAAACTTAAGTGATATCACATCAAAACTTCGTTGACCTTTTCCACCTCCTGTAAACCTGTTACTCTAACTGAAATGAGGTTCACGTTAAACAATAATTAACGATGATTCCATCGCCGCCAGGCAATTTATGTTCATGGAGGTTGAGGTGAAGCGCTTTTTTGGCCATAATAATGCATTTTGACCTTTGATCTACTCGTTAGATCAGTCTTATTTCTAGGTACCATGTAATGGTTCAGGATGAATAACGTACTGGCCAAGTTGTCAAAAAGTCAAAATGTTACTTATCACTATGCATGCTTTGCTACTGATACTATCATTGGCGATGCTTATTTTCCGCTCGGCGAATTTACCGTTGGTTTGCTTGATTCTAATTTGTAATCACTTAAGTTTGTTGTAAATACGTACACTGATAACCAGTTGCACCCAAATAATCCGTTGCATACTCGGAAATAAAGATCAGTATTTGATAAACTAGGAAAAGACCCTTACACCGACACAAACAGGCTAAGATTAAACTTTTGCTGAAAAGCTACAACCCTTTATCCACTAACATTAGCAGGAATATTCTCCATACTGAAGAATTTTTCAACCCGCCAATAGCTTTTAGGGTTGGCGATCATTTCCTCTAGTCATGATCTTAGTAAATTATTAAGTGGTGTCACTATGAGAAGGACGAAGACGCTGGTCACTCTTAATAAGGATTTAAAGGTTCAGCAATACTTATCAGCATCGAAGAGAGAACTTTTTCTCGTGTTATTTTTTGGATCTTTTGAAAAATTCGGTAACCAGCAAACGAGATCAGAGGCTTTTCTGTTCACGTTCGTATTGGTGAAAGTGGTTCAAAATCTGCATGTTAATTATTGGTACTGAGAAAAGTAAAGTCAGTTAGAGAGACACAAAAGGAAGACAGAAATCGTTGGCGAATTAACTCACAATTTCGAGTGTTGATATAGTTGTAGATCTTTCTCATGTGGCGGGGAGTTACAAAGATTAAAAATTGATGGCATGATAGATTTCAATGTTTTTACGCAAATTTCACCTGGTGCGAGAGGGGAAGAGAAGGGTGCGCAAGTAAGTCTGTTTTAAAACACTCCTCGTGAACTGGCCGTCTTTCGACACAGTTTTACCACATTTCCACGTTGAGTGTTTCAGAGTAAATGAGTTGATTCTTATTTCAGCGTGAGCTGGTTTGTCGCATAAAGAATTTTAAAGGTTGATGAGTATCTGCACTTCATTAAGTAATAAACGCAACACTCCAATTAAACTTTGGCAATGTTCTTTAATCAAGCATTCTGCTCTGCTCATTTGAAAGAGATTTGGCATTGTGTAGTATATATATACCACGATCTAAAGCTTCATGACATATAGTGAATCAGATAATTTACTAAATAGTATTCCTTTGGATAATAAATAACTCGTACGCTTTTTCAACATTATCATGACCGCTTGGTCGGCAAAAAAAAATTACGTTTCTTTAGTATTTTCTCTCAAAAACTGAACGGAAGTTCTCAACAAATTACGATAAGCTTAAATATTCTATAATACAAGTCTTCCGAAAATATCAACTCCGTGTAAAAATATTTCGTACAAAATTAACGACACAAGTAGTATACAAAGCGTAACTTTGCAATAGAGCCTAGTGTAAGTGAGTCATTGAGGGCCATCCACATTGGACATGCAATCACGACTCCCCCCCCTCCCCTCAAGTTAATTTTGACGTCCTATAATACAACAGTATAGTCGCAATATGGCTACTAGATGCTTTGCTTTGAAATATTTCTTTTTCTAGTTTTTTTCATTTCGAGGCTAACAGTACTGTACAAAATAAGTTCGACTTGAAATAATAAATAATTCACTTAAATCTACAGAAAGAAACCTTCATCAATCTTGGACCTAAATACACAATTGATTATGAAACAGGAAAAAACAAACGTTTTGAATTTATGCAGAATTCTGGTCGAAGAATTTGACTAATAATAAGAACTAAAGTTAATCAAAGAGTCTCGATTCCACGTACAAACTTTGCAAGAGCACAATTCGAATATGTCTATATCTATACATATATATAGTTTTTTTCTGCAATGAAAGGGTAACAAGGAATTGGGTAATCGAATCAAAAAATCAAACCGCATAAGGGAATTGCACAGAAGCATAGGAACACCACACAAAGGTCACCTTGAAATAAAGCGCGAATAGATTCTAGCTCACTGACACTGAATCAAGGTACTCAATGAAACTTTATATAGTTAATCTAAGGTGACTACTTCTATTCTCCGCCGGCCATATTCTGAAAACGGATCTCTACCAAAAAAGTTCATCAGGTTTCTTTCTTCGTAGTCGCTTACATAAACACAATCGTCCTTCATGACGTCTTGCTGAATTGAGTCTCGCAGCTGACGAGATTTTCGCACAAGATTCTGAAGTTGAAGTGTAGCCATTTCGGACAATTTCATTCGGATTTTGTTGAAGTCTGAACGGTAACCAGTCTCCAAAAACCTGAGAGAAGCAAACGTATAAGCCATTAGGAACAAGAACGAAAATTGCACAAAGAGGATAAGCTAAAAAGGCCAAGTTGTAACAGTGCCAGGCGGTAAGAAGCACAAGGTAACCCAGCCTAGCGGTGTGGGGCGGCAGTCTGAGAGGGAAACCACAAGTAAAGTGGCATTGTAGGCACAGATCTACTGAAAAGGGTAGAACTTATTCGCTTAGTTAGCGCCAATCAATGATTGTGAACCGGCATAGGTGAACTAGTCACCTGTGTCACCTGTGCCACAGATCACCCATCAATACTTTTGAAGTTTTGGTACTTGTGACCAATATCCCACGCATTCCGAATGTTTTCATAAAGAACGAATCAGCCGTGGTACAAATTCCTAAAACGGCCTAAGTAACCAAAAGAATGTGCGCATGTTATCAGCGGAAGGTTTGGGGTTAACGACCGGACTCCAGAGCATTTTCGTATCGTTCACTCAAGATTCGCACGATCAAGAATTCTTAATTGATCGCCCATTCCAAAAACTAGAACAACTGTTAAGAATTTGTTACCTCTGAACCAGCCCAGACACGCAATCGGACGAGAAGTGTGAAGACGATAGGTCTGATGATAAACA